ATCAACCTTGGCAAAGTTAAGTGTCCCTTTGTAAAATATGGAGGAGGTTTGATCTGTCTGGTGTTGGTAGAACATAGGTAATAAAACACAATTTTCATAGCAGTAATGTGTGTCCAGTCTTTTGTTCCCAATGATGCTGTTTGAAAAATGCAACAATTCTCTTAGAGGACAGGATTTCAAAGATTTTAAATATTTCAGATGAAGAAATGAAGTCATCGGTGTACTGGCAGGCACACTTTACTATAGTGCAATATGATCAAATGTTATCTATCCCTTTTTCTGCCTCTGAGTTATTTTTTAAGTAATGTACAGTCTGTACTAGCCACAACTCTTATCCTCACAAGGAAACCTGTTGACTTTGCAGCTATCCTGTGACAGTACCTTATAAAAGACTTGGCAATAAAAATAAAAAATCCACTCTCAAAGAGACATTAGTAAAATCTTAAGATTAAGAATCTAATTGCCTTCTGCTGTAACAGGATTTAGCAATAACTTCTAATTGGTAGTTCAAAGTTAATCCGTCAGGGAAATATAGGCTGACAAAAGCACCCAGACATGAAAATCTTTTCACTAGGCTTTTGAGTATGTTCAGAAATAGTCCTGTGTGTTTATAGAAATATTGTTTTATCACGTTGCATAAGTACAGAAAGGCTTTTCATAGGCTTTTATCTATTGTAGTGTACCATGATCTAACAACAGAACTGGAGGGAAGGGACCTCGAGAGGTCATCCTAGTCCAGTCCCCTGCACTGAAGGCAAGACTAGCACAGGGGTGGGCAAGAGAACCTCCATGGGCTGGATCTAGCACACCAAGCTGGTGGTGGATCCAGCCCTTGGCTGCCCTGCTGCTCCCCCACCCCAAGGCCAATCAAGACCTGGGGATGGGGGATGCATAAAGTCTCCTCCCCTGCAAGGGGTGCATGTGACCAGAGCGAACCACCAGCTGTTTTGACACAGCTGGCGATTCTCTCTAGCCACCATGTGCCCCTGCCCCCAGACCTTGATTGGCCTGGGGGCAGGGGAAGCACACAAAGTCTCCTCCCACTGCAGTGTCTATAGCAGGGGTGTCCAAACTTTTTTCAAAGAGGGCCAGATTTGATGAAGTGAACAAGCGTGAGGGCCGACCATTTTGCCTGACATTCTTTGAACCATTAAAATTAAATGCAAATTAACTATTTTATGCAAAGTTTATTGCAAACGGCATACTTTTCATTTCGTCACATGGATGACAAATCTAAACAGGTGTTAAATCACTCTGCCTTTCATATCTGAAGGCCAGATGAAAAAAAAAATCCAGGAAGCTGAAATATATGTCAGGAACATTGTAAAGTACATTACATATTATTGGTAATAGAGGTTGTCCGTCAACTTTTAAGTTAAAAAAATATGAACAGGAACATAACACCAAGTATACATGTTGTGTCCAAATATATTTATAACTGATTTAGACCAACTGACATTAACTGAGATTTTACAATGTATTCATCTCAATACATATGGATTCGTTGGGGGCCATAAAAGATAGATATTGCCAAATTACCTGGGGGGCCGTATTAAACCGGAACACTGGCCGCAATTGGCCCGCGGGCCGGACTTTGGACATGCCTGGTCTAGAGGGAACCACCAGCTGTTTTAAAACAGTTGGCAATTCTCTCTAGGCACCATGAATAGGGGACAAGACTTCATGTGTTCCCCCACCCTCAGGCCAATCAGGGCAGGGCAGGGCTACTTCAGAAATTTGTGAAGTGGCCCCTTTTAAAAATGACTGGCCACTCTTGCTTTAGCATAAGAGTGGGGAACCTCTGGGCCACGGGCCAGACCCAGCCCATTGCCATTCTGATGTTTTTATATAGGACCCAAATGTATCTGCCCTTTTGCCCTATGCTATAACCCACTAGAGTCCACTCTCCTCCCAGTGCTGAGAAAGAGGCCAGGAGTCCTGACAATGTCTGTCTGTCTGTCTCTCCACAGAGTGAGTAACAAAGTACAACCCTAAAATGTTAAGGTTAATCAGTGTCCCTTAAGTGATTCGCCACAAGATGTTAAAACATGTTAGAAGTAGGACTGAGTGGGGTTAATATTTAATTTTCTTTCTTTTATATATGGATTAGATACAGTGCTCCTGTCAGCTAATTGCTAAGTTATCTGCCAAAAAAAATAAAGTTTTCGAGTGCTTATGGTGGCTCTGGAAAGAGATGAGGTGTGGGTGAGGGATGTACAAGGGGTGAACCTCCTCCATCCCTGATTTGCTGCTTGACTTGTGGTGAGCATGCTCAGTAATTCTGCTGAAACTGCTGTCCTCAGTCTGCCCCTGCCTCCCATTGTGGCATGCAGAGGTCACTTTCCCACCAGAATCTGAAATGTTGCCTCTGTCCATCAATGGCTCCTAATCAAGATGGACAGAGATGCAAACCCATGTGCTCAAGTGTCCCTAGACTGTCAGAAGCTGGAAAAGAGTGACACTGGGTGGATTACTTGGTGACTATCTGCTGTACATTGCCCCTGAAGCACCACTGGCTACTGTTGGAAGACAGGCTATTGTTGGAGAGGGACCACTGCTTTGTCACAGTATGGCCTTTCTTATGCTCTTATATTCTCCCAGGGAGGAGGGGTGCATGGGTGGGTGTGTGTATAAAAACAAACTTTTCCTGTGGGACAACAATGATATATCACATCACTCTGCATTCCACAGCCCCTTAACTCTGCCCCCAGATGCTCTGCCTCCACCCTTCTCAGTACTCCAGCATGGCTGGAGCCACACAGCCACCTTTCTCCTCCTGGGGGGCGGGAGAGGGACGTGGGACCTGCAGACCTGCACACCCTTCTCCTCACTGGGGAGGGGGCAGAGCCACGAACCTCTCTCCTCATGGAGAGGGAAGTCCAGAGCAGCAAGGCCTCCCTCCTCAAGGGGGGAGCTGGGAGCCATGAGGCTTCTCTCTCACAGGGAGCCCAGAAGCCATGCACCCTCCTTCTCATGGCCAGAGAAAGAAAGCTGGGCACACACTCCAGACAGCCACTTACCACAAGGGACCCACTTTTACTCCTCTTTTACCTGGAGAACTCCCTCTCCAAACTCCCTGTTAGCTGTTCCTGTTCGCAAGCTGAACAGGACTTCACTTTGATGTGTAAAAGGGAAGTCAAATCCCCCGGAGCTATTGATTCCCCTATGAGGGGCACGTACAATATACATACATTGCTAATGCTTAGATATATTTGCTATTTGTATAGGAGTAAGACATGACAAAGGTCAAGGCCTGTCACAGGTAATAACTTATAATAAGGAGACGAGGGGAAGTGAAACCAGTCTTCTGTTAAGTAGAGATATGGATAGATTCCACATCCTTTAAACTTGTGACCGGCTCAAGCAGGAAAGGGAAAAGGGAAGTATGGCTTGCCCATTGTTCAGCAAGAGTGAATGAATGTAATACAGCTGTAACCGCAAAGTCAGCAAGTAGGCACTGTATTTAACCTCATTTGGAAAATTAACCTGACCTATAGGAATGCTAAATGTCAAAGATGAAGTAACCTATCATGTTAAGGCACCTAAACCAGGAAGGATGTTAACCCTATAAGAACCCCTGCATATGAGATGTTGGGGGTCGGCTCTGCTTTGAACATTGAGTTCCTTAGCCGTACCTTGGTTGCAACCAATAAACTTGAGTTGGACCCAGCCTGAAAGTGTGACTCTCTTCTTGGGGTAAATCAGACTAGCCTCCAAGGGGACGAAACCAGCAATTTATGCAACACTTGGGGCAGGCTAGGGCTGTCACACCTTGGCCTGGACCCTCTCTAGTGGCTGGGGTAGGGGGACAGCCAGGGCTGCCTGCCTACCTACCCCCAGGGGCTGGCGAGTGCTGCGAGCAGGAGGCACAGCCCCCTAGTAAATACAATAAAAATGAATGTTTCCAATATGTGCATCTATTCAAAAATACAATCTATTTTTATCTTTAAACTGAAGCATATTCCTTTAAACTTGAAGTGAATTGTTAGTCCACTTCAACAAGTAACACTAAAGTGTGTTCCACACATTGTATAATTATAAACTTTTTCTCTCAAACACTACGTAAAGTTACATTCTGCTCCCAGGTTCACATCTCAAACCATCTTGTTAGTCTTTAAAGTGCTACATTGTCCTGCATTTTATCTCAAACACAGTTTCAGTATGATCTGCATTTGCACAGTTAAGTTTTAAACACGCTAGAGCTCTTAAATAAAGGAATTTGAAACCACCTTAACTCTTGCTGGATAAAACAGAACAGTCCATTCAGAGTAAGACATTTCTAGTGTAAGCTGCTGCTCTTTCCATTGCAGTTACTCAAGAAAGCTGCTTAGAAATATGAAAAAGCACACTGCAACGAGAGCCAAAATGCATAAAGCCACAGTTTAGCCATACATCAAATCAACAAACACCACCAAGGGAGAAAAAGCTGAGGGCAATTCTATGGTTGTTTAAACAAATTACATAGTTCTACATTGCTTAGCTCAGAGCGGCAGTCATATTATACAACATTATTCTGTTCGTTGTAATACAATCCCAATGGAGATGAAATTCTGTATATTTCATCAGCAGGCATAATATATTGAGGACAAAAAGTTTAATGTTTTAAAATTTAACAAGTAAAATGAAATTTGCTGTTAACTGAAATAAATGACCACAACTTCATATCTTTTCAAGGTTTAGTGGAAACTTGGCATCTCAGTGAATAAGTAGCAAGGTGAATTGGAACATTTGCTATAAATATTGCTTAATATTTTCAAAGCAACAGCTTACAATTTAAATAGTTAACAGTATATCCTGTGGAGTTTTAAAGCATTGTATGTTCAAATGCACATAAATACTAAGACAGACTTAAATCATATCTTATACCATTTTCCAAGTCTTAATGGATTTTTAAATAAAGTTTTTTCAAATATGTTTTAAAAATTATTATTCCCAGATTACTAGAACAGTTGGATCATTTTTCTGTTATGACAACTTTTAGAAAAAAATTGCATTTTTACCTTATTTTTTGTAGAGTTCTTGCAGAGATTCTTTTATTATTGGAAAAGGACTCAAAAAATGAAATGGATTGCACAAAGAAAAGGAAGACTTTAAAACGAACTCAGCTTCTTCAGTTAGGTGAGCAGCAAGATGCCTTGTGTGTTCTGAATGGAAAGTTTATTTATCTAAATGAATAGTTCACAGAGGAAATACAATCAGCTTTTAACAGCATCCCTTGATCTAGGAGTGACCGTAACATTCTATGCACACATATAAATGAAGCAAGAAATCCTAGATTTACTATCATGTGACCCACCCCAGTAAGGAGCTAGCACTTGATTTGACTACCACCACCAGTATTCTCAGCCTCAACAAAACTCTTCCTAATACTGAGCTAGTTGTTACAGAGTGCAGGGAGAGAACAGGTAAATGGATCACTGTTAGCTTTATTAAGCCAACACTTCACACACTCCTGAGTTTTGAGAATAAACTGAAATTTTTTTTTACTGAAGTTGAATACAGCACAAAAGCCTGTTTTAAGTCACTCAACAAAAAGTTACAGAACAGATGATGCTTCAGGGGGTAGCCGAGTTAGTCTGCACAGGATAAACTTAAAAAACAACAAATGGTCTGGTAGCACTGTAAAGACTAACAAAACATGTTAGATGGTATCATGAGCTTTTGTGGACACAGCCCACTTCTTCAGATGACCCGAGTTAGCCACCCTATACTTCAGAACACTAGAGCATCTGAAAAATTTACCATTAGTGTTTAAAAAAAAAATTGCGACAGATACCCTTTTTCATTCTAATTGGTCTTTCAAAGACCAATTTATTACAGAATTAAATTAAGGAAAACTAAGAACTTTACTCTAACTGATTTTTGTAATGAAAGTTGGAATAGGTGTGGGGGAGGGAGGTCAATCTGTTATGGCCCTGTATTTTTACAGTAGCCAATATCTGTATAGCATAGGCAGACCCCCCAGAAAGGGAAGTTGCAGCAGTGTGCATGGGAAACAACAGCTAAAATATATGCTTCACAATAGAATTAAAGTTCGCATTTTGCCAGGAACATGTAGGGCTGCCGACAGGCAGGGGAGCAAAGAGGCAGTTGTCCCAGGGCCTGGCTATTTGTTATTAAGCAGCAATGATAGTTTCCCTTGACAGAGTCTCCCTAAAGAAGCACTTGTGTTTGAAGAATTAGTTCAGCCTGGTTTACAATATGAGGTTAGATCAATATCAGGCAATTTATGTCGACCTAATTCCTTATTTTGACAGTGTACACACTACAGCCTTGCTCCTGATGATGTAGATGTCCTACCTCAAAGACATAACTCCACAAGGTGTAGGCCTTGTGTCAGTGAAATTAGGGTCACAAAGTGTCTGTATAGACTCTGTTACTTTATTAGCTGTTGGAGGTCATTCCTGTCAATATGAGCCACGAAACTGAGGAGAAAACCACTTAAAGATTGGGCAGTCACCCCTGAGCAGATATGGGAGTTCCAGCTAGAACCCGGCTGCCCCTGGGCTCCTGGCTCCCCAATCCCAGCCAGGCTGCTGGCTTCTTGCTGGAAGACCAGCAGCTGCTCTTGTTCTGGGCACAGAATGCAGAGCTGAGAGTACAAGAAGTTGCTATGCTCTCGGGGTGGTGACAGACTTTGTTGGGCCCTGTACAGTTGGGGGCAGGGGGGGTGAGGCCTTGCGTGGAAGGGGCAGGGCTTGAGCAACCAGCCCTCAGTGCCACATGGACTGTGCCACACCTAACCCCAGCCAGCCCTCAGTACTGCCCAGAGTATGCTGTGTAGGGCTCTAGCAGCAATTTAAAGGGCCTAGAGCTTCAGAGCCTTTTAAATAGCCAGGCCCTGGGACAACTGCCTCTTTGCTCCCCTGCCTGTCGGCAGCCCTACATGTTCCTGGCAGGGAGCTGCTCAGAGCGGAGATCCTGGAATCTCTGCACCCCACACTGCCCCCATTAAGCTGGTGAAAGCACACTTAGAGGAGATGCGCACCCTCAACAATAGTGTGAACATGAACCACTGCAGTAATTACTGTGTTGACTAAGTCAACACAACGTAGTTTTTTGTGTTTATATTAATGAGATCAAGGAAGGAAGAGGAAGTATTTTGACATAGACCTTAAAGTCAGAAGGTGGGCCGTAGTTCGACTGCAAATTATTGGCTCATGAATGTTCCTTGTCTCAGGTGAAAGTAAGCCGGTGCACCCTGGTGCACAGCTCTGGGAAGAGTTGGTTGAGCTGTGGCAAAAGCCAGAAGGAAGCTATTTAAAAAGCTGGCAAGGACCTAGGTTGCAATAGGACAGTACCTTTCATCATCCTATTTTTGGTGCCTCATGTCTCCTTTGTTCTCCATCCTCTTGCTAACTATCTCCACTTTCTTTCCAACGTGCCCCATCAACTTACACGGTTTCCCTTGCTATATAGATTTATTATATATTCTTCTACTGTGAAATCAGTCAAATTCTCCTGTGAGGAATTCATTTAAGGGGCTATGAGTGCTTATTTAAATGTGAGAAGGTTGTCTCAGGAACATTTAGAGGCAAAAACATCGATTTAACTCAGGTGAACAGCACTAAGGTTCACTGGTGAGGCCACAGTGGAGTATTGTATCCAATTCTGGGGCCCCCATTACAGAAAGGTAGTGGATGCATTGGAGAAAGGTCAGCAGAGGGCAACAAAAATTATTAGAATCATAGAATACTAGAACTGGAAGGGTCCTTGAGAGGTCATCAAGTCTAATCCCCCAAGCACCATCTAGATTACCTCGATAGATGTCTGCCTAACCTGCTCTTAAATATCTCCAGTGATGGAGAAAGCACACTGATAGTTGGGAAGTTTTTCCTAATGGCCAATCTAAACCTCCCTTGCTGCAGTTTAAGCCCATTGCTTCTTGTCCTATCCTCAGAGGCCAAGGAGAACAATTTTTCTCTCCCCTCCTTGTAATACCCTTTTAGATACTCAAAAACTGCTATCATGTCCTCTCTCAGTCTTCTCTGGTATTAAAGTTACGATGAAATAATGAAATAATATGAAGTAACAGCACAACACTACTGCTCTTCCCTATATTACTAAAACCATGCACACTAATATCTGTGCTAAAGGCAGATATTAACAAAAATATATTGAAAATCAGTGTTAAATCATGAAAGCCAACAAATTACTCATGGGAGAATTCTGCACCACTGTGCGTTGCACAGAATGTATGTCTCCTGCAAACTTTTTTTTTTCCTCTGTAGAAATACATTTTGCCAGAGGTGCTATAATTACATACGTTACCTACAAGGGACTTTTGAGACACCTGAAGAGAGAGCAACCAACTCAGCCATCTCCAGATAGTGAGGAGGAAGAAAAACTGCTTTCCTCACAGGGCCCTCACAATAGGACAAGGTTGGGAGGTACAGGATATGGGGAGGCAGGAGGAGACAGCAGGGCACAAAGGATTAATGGGGGGCTGAGAAGAGATAGTGGAGGGACAGACTGGGGCAGAGACACACGAACTAGTGGAGGTATAGTATTGGGCTGAATGCAAGTGGGGGTGCAGGGCCACATGGAGAGTGGGGAAATGGTTACTGAGTGGCAGTACAGGGACTATGGTTGCCAGGTGTCTGGTTTTGAATCGGACACTCCAATATTTGAGCTCTCTGTTCGGGAAACAAATTGAGAAAATATCAATGTCCAGTATTTTCTAAATAAGATGTAATATAGATTGTGATGTAATGTCAGTTGTGTCTGGTATTTTTGTTGAAACCATCTCGCAACCCTAGCAGGGACAGATGGAAGAGTAGGGTGGCTGAGCCACATGGAGATAGGGATATGGGGTGCCAAAAGTCAGCCAGGGTTCATGTGAGGGAGGCTCCCCAGTTCCCTCCTCCCTCCCCCAAAAGCCTGTTGAACTTGATAATATTGTGTTATTTTGACACACAAAATATGCAGAGTTGTAAAAGGGTGTAAGAAATTTGTAAACTTTTGGCACAGAATTCTCCCAGAAGTAATACACCTTGCGTGGAAGGGGCAGGGCTTGAGCAACCAGCCCTCAGTGCCACATGGACTGTGCCACACCTAACCCCAGCCAGCCCTCAGTACTGCCCAGAGTATGCTGTGTAGGGCTCTAGCAGCAATTTAAAGGGCCTAGAGCTTCAGAGCCTTTTAAATAGCCAGGCCCTGGGACAACTGCCTCTTTGCTCCCCTGCCTGTCGGCAGCCCTACATGTTCCTGGCAGGGAGCTGCTCAGAGCGGAGATCCTGGAATCTCTGCACCCCACACTGCCCCCATTAAGCTGGTGAAAGCACACTTAGAGGAGATGCGCACCCTCAACAATAGTGTGAACATGAACCACTGCAGTAATTACTGTGTTGACTAAGTCAACACAACGTAGTTTTTTGTGTTTATATTAATGAGATCAAGGAAGGAAGAGGAAGTATTTTGACATAGACCTTAAAGTCAGAAGGTGGGCCGTAGTTCGACTGCAAATTATTGGCTCATGAATGTTCCTTGTCTCAGGTGAAAGTAAGCCGGTGCACCCTGGTGCACAGCTCTGGGAAGAGTTGGTTGAGCTGTGGCAAAAGCCAGAAGGAAGCTATTTAAAAAGCTGGCAAGGACCTAGGTTGCAATAGGACAGTACCTTTCATCATCCTATTTTTGGTGCCTCATGTCTCCTTTGTTCTCCATCCTCTTGCTAACTATCTCCACTTTCTTTCCAACGTGCCCCATCAACTTACACGGTTTCCCTTGCTATATAGATTTATTATATATTCTTCTACTGTGAAATCAGTCAAATTCTCCTGTGAGGAATTCATTTAAGGGGCTATGAGTGCTTATTTAAATGTGAGAAGGTTGTCTCAGGAACATTTAGAGGCAAAAACATCGATTTAACTCAGGTGAACAGCACTAAGGTTCACTGGTGAGGCCACAGTGGAGTATTGTATCCAATTCTGGGGCCCCCATTACAGAAAGGTAGTGGATGCATTGGAGAAAGGTCAGCAGAGGGCAACAAAAATTATTAGAATCATAGAATACTAGAACTGGAAGGGTCCTTGAGAGGTCATCAAGTCTAATCCCCCAAGCACCATCTAGATTACCTCGATAGATGTCTGCCTAACCTGCTCTTAAATATCTCCAGTGATGGAGAAAGCACACTGATAGTTGGGAAGTTTTTCCTAATGGCCAATCTAAACCTCCCTTGCTGCAGTTTAAGCCCATTGCTTCTTGTCCTATCCTCAGAGGCCAAGGAGAACAATTTTTCTCTCCCCTCCTTGTAATACCCTTTTAGATACTCAAAAACTGCTATCATGTCCCCTCTCAGTCTTCTCTGGTATTAAAGTTACGATGAAATAATGAAATAATATGAAGTAACAGCACAACACTACTGCTCTTCCCTATATTACTAAAACCATGCACACTAATATCTGTGCTAAAGGCAGATATTAACAAAAATATATTGAAAATCAGTGTTAAATCATGAAAGCCAACAAATTACTCATGGGAGAATTCTGCACCACTGTGCGTTGCACAGAATGTATGTCTCCTGCAAACTTTTTTTTTTCCTCTGTAGAAATACATTTTGCCAGAGGTGCTATAATTACATACGTTACCTACAAGGG